GAGAGGAGTGGGGATGACAGCTACACAAGAGTGCCTAAGCAGCACTTGCAACCAGCTATCAGAGGCTTCCTCCTGCTGAACCCAATGGAGAGGGGCTGCAAGTCAACTTTCTGCTGGGAGTGGGGAGCCTGTTGGGACAGGCTGCATTTTGTTGGTGCTTTTTGCTTGGACTCCTCCTGAAGTGCCACTTCAAAGGGCAACAGTGCAGGAGTCTGCCATGCACTGGCCCCTCAAGCCCCATTTGGGGCTTAAGCATCCAGCCCTCCTGACATAGTCAGGGTAGAATTCATTCTTCTGGGAAGACCCAGCAGAATATGCCCCATTTGTTCTGTGTGCTGGCTACTAAGTGGCTATGGTGCTGAGGGCAGGGAGCTGAGACGTGTTCTGGGTCTTCTCAAGAGGAAACTTAGCAGAAAACTGCTTGTTCCCCCCACCCCAATCTTGGAAGTCAGTAAGGGAGCATGTTCTGCTGGGTCTTCTCCAGGGGAGCACACAGTGGCAAGAAAGCCAATGATAGCTGCCTTAAGTGCCAATGGGCACTTTGTGTATCTGTCATTGGAATCATTTGGCCAGTGAGGCAAGGCTCCCTGCTGCTTCGGCCAAGTGGCTCTGTAGATGCCAGTTTCACCTTGTATTGTATCGTGCAGGTTAAGACAAAATGGCAGCCTGGGGTGGATAAAAAACTCTGAAACATGCTATGACTTTTTAGGGTGACTTTGTAGCTGTAAAGAAGCCACCGTGTGGAGGGGCAGGGCTCCAGGTTCAGGCTAGAGACTTCAGCCTTCACAGTTTTGAAGTGGTTCACAAAACATGGAGCAGCCAGGAGTGATGGTTGTGTTGTCTGAACCCAGCCAGATTGGCTAACAAACTATGTTGCTGATTTCAGTCAACACAAGCCACCTAATTTTATAAGCCAGCATGGTTTACTCCAACAGAACAGTTTTAAAATGCAAAAGCTCATAGTTGAACTTTCTTGAAGAAAGGATATTCACTAAATCTAAATTATATGAAAGTTGTTAGATTTTTTTACTATAATTGCACACAAGCAAACTTGTCTGCAAATTTGCAGTTTATTTACACAGTAATTATTCTGGATTTGAAGAATAGTCTCTTGTTCAGCCTTCTTGTGGCATGTTAAAAACCTGCTTATAGAACAAATATTGGACATGATCTAACCAAAAAGAAACATACGTTCCACTGATTCCAAGGAAGAGTTAAACATGTGCTTAACAATCTTTGCTTGGATTGAACTCATTAAAAAATTAAGAAAGCACTCTCTTGCTTGTGCACCTGCCTATAAGCCATATGGCTGTACCACAGCATAGTCAGACTGCTTTATCAGATTTCATTCTCTTTACAATGAACATCCAAGATGCTCTGTAAGCTCTGACACAAAGCAGTAATGTGTGCAGTTTAAATGCATAGCAGTAGATAGTGCAAGGGTGAAAGCCAGCTGCTCGAAATTACCAACATTAAATTGAAAGGGTGCAGACAACTGAAGCAGCCACAAAAAATGTTGTGCTCGAGAGAGCTGCCACTTTATTACCCAAACTGCAACTTCAAAATAAGGACCTTCTAAAAGAAAAGATGCCTAGAAACACAAGGCAATCAAACATTTTTAAAAATTTATTGCAGTCTCTTGTTGAGAACAGTCTAGGAATTATGCTTAATCTGTTTTGTGTCTGACAGATGATCAACTAGCGTCAGTGTTTGGAGACACAGGCTACAGTCAAAACCATCACTATCTTGGAGTTATGTTTGTTATATACCAAACACAGTCAAGGTTTTTGTCTTTGAGCAAAGGAAAAAAAAGAGACATTTGCTGTGTGTATGTGGATTTGAATGAATCAACACTAGCCCCTCTGTGTAATGTTAATGCTTTCCCTTTTTGCTCTTGGCATATTAAAATAGCTAGGATTTCCTCCCAGTTATGCCTGCTAGAGATGTGTGTCAGATTATATAATTGTCATTTGCATTCTGATCTATCATTGCATGCTAAATTGACCTTATGGGAAAGCCCAGTCTTAAAAATTTGTAAGAACATGTTTTTGTGGCAAACTTGTTTAGGTAAATTGTTTTTACTTAGGAATGCTTAGTCAGGAATGAGGATGAATTTTTGCTCTTTGGGATTGAGGTTGCCAAAGGCAGTATGTTACTACAGATGAATGACAATACTTGCAACTACAAAATTTGTTCGAACCTAGATGTGGCCTTGCAGCTTTTATTGAGGCTGATCAGTTATGCTCACCTAAAGTCCATGTTTATAAATGTTTGCTGTTGGTGAATAAATGCAATACAAAGGGTCTAATGCAGTTGAAGGATATATCACACGTTGTCTTACTCTACAAAAACCTGGTTTCATGTATATTGAGCTCATTGTCTCTTTCATACAAGTTTGTCTAAGTCAAGTATCTGCTGGACATGTAATACCATGAATGCTTCCTTCAGTTTTATGTTTTAACCATGTCCAGTTGTAGCCTCTTTTTGGGTAAACTTTGAGTAAATAAGGATAAACTTTGTACTAGAACATCCTTTTATATGTAATGATCTACAAGTTCTTTTGAATAATCTACCTGCTTAAGTTAAAGCATGGCCAGCATTAATGGATTTTCCACTTCCTTTTGATAATTAAAAGTCCAGTACAACAATACTGGAACAATAAACAAGCTCATATGAACTTGGGGTCATTCAGGTTCCCCACAATGTAGAGTGAAGATATTGTAACATGTAGCTATGACATTTGCATATGTTAGCACCCAGTGGGTTGTTTGCTTTGAAAAATTTGTTGTTTTTATTTTCAGCTGTTGCCTATCTTTTGTTTGTGGGTTAGCATGGCTGTATGAGAAGCAATTCACAGGCTATTTTGGATGCATGCTGCTGACATCCAATCACTTCAACTTTTATATGAATGAAATTGGTGTTTCACATTTTGCTACAGTTGATTCATCTTCCTGTGAGCAATACTAATGCTATCATGCACAGCTAGGAGGGCAAGTAATTGGAGAAGGGAGCTGTTAAGTCTGGAGAAGGCAGCTGTAAATATTAGCAGTGAAAGTCTTAATGCCTCAGCTACTCTTAAGATGTGCACCAGCTTTCCTCATTTATTTTATTTATTAATTAAAACATTTATATGCTGTCCTTTGCTGCAGCCTCAGGACGGCTCACAAAAATATATAAAGGGTTGCATGCCATAACATATGTTCTGTACTAGCTTTTGTACAAAAGCTGAACAACAACAAAAACCAAACAGAAAAAAGAGAGCTAGTGTGGCATCCTGGTTAGAATGTTGAACTGGGAGATTTGGGGTCTACTCCCCACTCAACTATAAAACTCACTGGATGACTGGGCCAGTTACAGACTCTCAAGCTCAGTCTGCTTCACTCAGTGGTTCTTGTAAGGATAAAATGGAGCTTTGGAAGCTGTCTTGGGTTCCTCACAAGAGAAGGGGTGTGATATAAATACAGTGTAATAATAAAAGCCTGACTGAGCAATCAGATGGCAGATTCATCTAGTTCAGCAGCCCAGTTCCAACAGTGACCAGCCAAGTGTCTCCATGAAGCCCACAACAACATGAAGGCAACCACCCTCTTTGTTCTTTGGTCCCTCAACAGCTTGCATTCAAAAGCCTATTAGTTCATGAACCTGAAGGATCAATTTAGTTATCATGACTAACAGTTGCTGATAACATCCTTTCAAAGCCATCCAAAGCAGTGACCATGGCCCCATTTTGTGACAGAAAATGCCGTAAGATTACCTATGAGAAGCATTTCCTGAATTTGCTACCATATTAGCAGAGGACAGGAAACTGACATCCACTGGAAATGATTTCTTAGCTGTTCACAATACAAATTTTTCTACTGCTTGTAGACACATTGTACCTATGTCACAATCCAGTGAGTGTATAAGAAATGCTCAGAAATTGGTGCAGAATTCATTTTCCTTAAATTTCCCACTTTAAATAATACCCAAATATGAATGAGGTTATCAGTGCAATCATATATGTTTAACCAGAAAGAAGCCACACTGTGTTCAGTGGGAAAACATAGACAAAATTTCACATTAAAAGAAGATAATGCAAAAGCAGTGCCACTTACTACAAACAAAGGTTCCTTCATTGTTAAGGACATGAATTAAAGCTAGTTTACAGCTTTCCTCCTAGGCCACCTAGTTTTCAGGGGTAACACCATACGGCAGGGGTCCTCAAACTTTTTCTACCAGGGGGCCAGTTGAAAGCTGCTGGGTGCGGGCCAGAAAGGTGGTGCTGGCGGTGCACACAGGCCGGCGCACACGCTGAGGCGGGGGCCAGGTGCACGGCGAGGGGAGGCAAGGTGAGGCACGGGCAGACACCGCAAGGCAGGCACACCAGGCAACGGCTTGCTTGTTTGGAAATCGTTTTCTCTGAGCAAGCAAACCACACACGGGGCGAGGTGGGCACATGCACAGCGGGTCCAAATTGGCACGGCAAGCCGGATAAATGGGCATGGCGGGCCAGATCCGGCCCCCTGGCTGTAGTTTGAGGACCCATGCCATACGGGGTAACAGTACAGAGGTCATTCCTTTAAGGAGTGTGGCAGGAATAGCCACAACGCTGCAGTGTATAATACAGACTTGTTCAGTCAAGTGTATCTCTGTGGCTTTACTTGCATGGCTAGCTCTGTGTCATGACAGACAACCAAAGTGGGGAAATGTTCCAGTGAAAAGCAGTGGAAATCATCTTTTGAAACTGAAAATGTGTTCAAGTAGGCTCTTGCCTTCAGAAAGTCCCACAAAATAAAATAGCCCTTGAGGTGTTACACTTCTTTTTGTCTAGTTATCTGCTTTCTGGATAGAAAAAGCAAATAAAGGCCAGGTCATTTATACATGCATTTTCAGTCAATCCAATTCTGATTTTTGCATTGGATATCAATAAACACCTATTGTTAAAATCTAAATATCAAAAGGTGTAACTGTAGAGCTTGATTAGAGAAATTGGAATATAAGAACCATACAGAACAGCAGCATATATTTAAATATCACCTTTATAGAACATGTTCTATTAAAAAAATCTGAATGGTAACAAAGTAAATATTTCAATAGTAGTGTTAATCAGTGCCAGCAATAAACCCTTTAAACACTGAGGTTTAGCTCACTCTTAGTTAAGCATTTTACAACCCAAAAGAAACATACTTTATTCAATAGAAATGTTCAATTTTCAATGTTGAGGAGTCTTCAAAACACTGCTAAAAATTTAGAACATAAAAATGCAATTGGAAGAGAAAGGAAATGGCTTACCCCTTTTATGTAGACCATTTATCTGCTTTCTAATTACATGTAAACCATTTTGAAACATCAGCACTTCCACATTATGAAAAATGAAGAGATAGAAAGCATCAGTGACATGTAAGAGTCAAGATAATCTCTTTAGAGAAACACTTCTGTCTAAAACAGTATTAAAAATTAGATCTGCAAGATGTTGAATGTCAGGAAATTTTCAGTTTTCTTCGCTTTCTTAAGCATGGTGTTATTCTGCAGACTATTTAAACATAAACATTTATGTTTGGAATCAAAGCTAACACCTTGCCTGAACCAGCAGCAGATCCCAATATTTCCAAGTCATTTTCTTGGCACAGGGCAGGCAAACTGCTGTTGACCTTACCTGGACTTGGCTCCATGCTTAACAATCATCCTAAACTTGTGATAGGCCATTGAGCTGTTTTTTTTTTGCAGTATCTTGGTTGTTATAAAATTCTGGCCACACTCAGTCAAGTGTGCACACAAGTCCTTCTAGAAAACCACTACTGATTCTTCGTCAGACCTTGATCTGAATTTAATAATCATGGAGCCCCAGTTTGCAATTGTTGGTGTGCTATACAACCTATCATGGAATTAATCTGTACCTTTGGTCATCCCTGTGTGCAAATGGGTAGTTTGAGGCCATATGTTCTGGCAAAACATTCCTGCTGATGGGAGATAGGTGATGCATGAGGTTATTACCAATAAATTTATGATTCTGCAAAAACATGATCTCTTGAAGACAAAAGCTTCATGTGAAACTACCATTCATGAGATGTTATCTATACTAGTATGGCTAAATGGACATTTTAAACAAAGACTCTATAAAATGTAGCAAAGTGACTGGATTTGGAAATGGTGGTTAAGGTGCAGTGCCACTGAATGAAGCATCCAAGATTCCTATGTCTTCCCAGACTGAGGCTAGCAGGGTTGTAAGTGTGATAGGTATTTTGCCCCTTGGCCTTCCTTTTAAAATAGTTCCACTAGACAGGCCTGAGTTTAGTGGATTCACAAAATCAGGGGTGGGGCTGGAAAAGCTGCAAGAGAGCTTTCCCTCTCCCCTTCTATTGACAGATCCTCTTTTTCCTTTCACTGTCCAAGCTTGTAACACCAAGTCATGAAAGAGGAGTTGCCATAGAGCATTCTGTGACATAAGAGTGGTGCGGAGATCTGAGCAGTTTTATCCTTATCTCCAAGGTCTTAGCTCTGTCTGGTTTTAGAGGTAGAAATTTCTAATATTCTGTGTTTCCTCAGACAATGTCTAGGAGCACTGGACTGCACCCTTAATGGATTTAATATTTATTTTACAGTGCTTTATGGAAGTGTTTGAAGCAAAAACACAGGTAGCTAATAATCAGAAAACAAGTGTTCATTTAAAAAGTGGATACAAGCATTTGCGTATAAAGTGATATGTTTATAAATATCCATGACTATCTTTGCCTTGGTATATAAAGGTTGCATCCAATATTAGTCTAGCTTAAGCCCCATTTATTTCAACAGGGCAACTCTAAGGAGGGCTAACATTTGATACAACCCTATGCTTTCATTATGTTGTGCTTTAATACAATTTGCATGATAGATACAAACTTGTCACCTAAACTTAGCTTTCATGGTAAAGGAAATTAAATTGAAAGGATGCCAGTTTACAATAATTTTAGTTTAAGTTAGATCTGCCAGTTTGAGCAAAGTGATAAAACTAGCAGTATATGAATATCAGTTGCTATTTATTATTAGATTGTGCTAAAATGCCAACAGCTGGAAAAATTCAAAAGGTAGTTAAATTATAAAACCTCTGTTTTACATGAACACATTTTAAGCCCATGTTCAAGTTTAGATTTTTACTCCTTCCTCCTTTCCAGTTTTGCAATTAAACAGATTTAGGCTAGATACCTAAGGAGGAAAGAGCAAATATTTAGTCCTACAAGTTAAACCTTTTTATTCTCCTGGCAGTTGAGATTGCTTGTTGCAGTTTGGGTAAATAAGAATGTTTCAGCTTATTGTCTTCATATGTAATGAATGTAATGCTGTTGGGTAGTAGTGACAAACTAATTTTATACCAAGTTAAACAAAACTAAATTCCATATTTCTATTTAAGGCTGTTAGATACTCTGAAACTATTATCAGGTATTCACTATCCATTCCAAGATGAAACATTTATGGCTACTATCCTAGGTTACTTGGAAATAAATAGCCTGTAGGTAGGCTTGCTTACTTTCACATACAGGTATGTGACTATAACTGCCATGTGGAGGGCTGAAAACATAAGAAGAATCTAACAATAAAAAGCAAGGAAATTGTGTCAATTTAGATCAGACAGCTCCAATACAAATGATCACACAATCTGTCTCTCAATCACACTGTCATATTTAATGGCTTTTATGAAGTTCATATCCAACTCAAGAACATATTTTAATTAACACCTATACTGTCCTTGTTTTCTACTGGAGTGTTTTACCCTTTGCAAATCTTAGGGTTGCTCAGGAGAGTGAGCAAAGAGAATAAAGCTACAAAAGTAGCAATGTTTCTTCAAATAGTAAACTGTTACAAATAAAAAAGGTACAAGTCAGTCATGTTTTGAAGTCCCAGAAAGAGCTTTAAGTTCTGCTCATCTTTGGTTCATAATTAAGATCTGATGAGTTTGAAGCCTTGTCCTGTGTCCAATATTGTGGGAAGAAACCAACTCATTTTTAATCTTTTCAGACACCTAAAACAAGCTTTACAGACCCAGAAGAGGTTAAGACCACAGAACCAGTTTGCTAGATGAACCAGTGGATAGGTGATGCGGGGGAAATATATCATCCAATGCTTGGCAATATCACTTTCAGTTGGCAAATGTAAAGTATAGTCACTCCATCGTTTTGACACTCCATATGCAGCTTTCACTGTACGTCCCTCTTCAAACCAGCTGATGTCACTGTCAGGGTTACAGTTGTATTCAACCCATTCTCTAGTAAAATCACCAAGATGGGGAGGATCTGATTCTTCTAAGTCTACCACTTTAGCCAGCTCTGCTCCTTGAACTGCAATATACTGGTCACTGATTTTTCTTACTTCTTTGACCCAAGGAAGAGCATTCTCACAGTCTAACACTATAATAAGCCGTGAACAAAAAGAGCCATTTTTTTCTCTCCACCATTCTAGAACTGTGTCAAGTCGTAATGCATCACCACCTGTGGGGAAACCAGATATATGTTACAGAGAAGTAAAGAAAAAAATATTCTAGGCCAGTCCTCTTATTTAAGCTAGCAGTCATTTTTTTCCATTCACTGGAAAATGCATGAGCTTTATACATTTGTGGAACACAGTGAACACTGAAAATGTTCTCATGTTCAGATCAACTTCCAGATAGGGATCCTCCACAGGAATAGAGTACTATGCTTATTGGACTGAAGCTGTGCATTCAACCACTGAACGGAGGATATGAGTTAGCAACTCTGAAAGTAAAATCAAAATCAAAGTCACCCAACCTGTTTGGGAGTCAAAATTTAGAAATCTTTCCCCTCTACCCAATTTTTTTTTAATGTGGATTGTAGACCAAAAATTCATGTATTTTTCATGTATTGCATTCAGCAAACTGCTCATGGGACGAGTTTGCACAGCACACCATGCAATGTGCATTGTTTGTGGAACAACCCAGAATTTGCCTGAAAGATGATCATGCTTACTATGGGTTGTCCTCCCACCATTCCTTCCCCCTCATTCCTCACCTGGTAGCTCAGGGGAGTTGATGGCTAAAACTGCCTTGTCCCATCTCTCCACTGTGACTGCAAACCCTTTTGAACTCACTGCAGTTCCCCACCCCCCACCTCTTCCCACAAGATTGTGTTTCATGATCTCTGAGGTGACGGGCCTTCCGACGTGTTCAAGCAGCATACTGGAATGGCTGCTACTATTTCACCACAACAAAACAAAATGAAACCAGGAAAAAAAATCTGTCAAATGTTTTCAGTAGAAAAGAATTAGTCTTGTGCAAGGGTGGTGATCTGAAATAGAAAGCCTCACTTGGGCAATGTCCTAAGAGGTGTTTGTTTGTTTTTTACTCTGTACTCTCTTGACAGCAATCAAAAGGTGAGCTGTCAAGGAAAACAAACTTGTGAAGTATTTTTGTTTGCAGAAAAAAAAATAGAGACTTCTGCCCTGTTTTGCCATGAGATTCTCATGGATTTTAGTATTCTTCTTCTAGTTTCCAGTGCCCCCACCTTTCCCAAAACTCCAGGTGCTTGGGGAATGGAGAAAGTGCATCCCACCAAATTTCCACTAATACTTTTGACAGTTGGACTAATTGTGATAAGAAAATATGTTTACATTTCTCTATCAAACCTACACTGTTTAAGCAATTAAAACTAAGGATGCAATCTTATGATTCCTGGATGTGTTTCTGGATGGTAGTCTCTCAGAGACCATAGCATTTTTTAGTGTCTGTCTTGAGGCCACAGAACACTTGTACAAGCTTGAGAGGGGATTGTGTTCTCATTCTCCTCACAGCCATCATGAAAAGAATTACACTGGCTTTTTTCTATAACTGCAACAGCAACCTTGGATGTCTGCATATAGGTTAAAAAGGGACTGCTATGAAGGAGAGGAGAGGTCAAACTCTGCAAAAACATGAGTGACAAAGGAAAAGGCAAGACAGATAAGGTGTTGGTCAGTATTTTGCAGCTAAGTGCAGTAGGAAACAAGAATTTGAATCTACAAAGGCTGGAAGGATAACATACTGACTTGAATCTAAGTAACATGCAGCATACTAGAGATCTCTCAAACTCTACCTCAGGCAGTCCTTGTACATCCTTGTACTAACATCCTTCACTAGAGAAAATTAAAGAAACTGAAACTAAGATTATGATTACTGTTTGTTTCACGTAAGAGGAGCTTTTCTGGATCAACAACATCTAGTCCAACATTCTCATCACACAATGGCCAACCACAAGCAGGATACAAGTGCAACAGCACCCTCTTGCCCAACCTCCCCAGCCTGTGCCCATGTCCCACATTCGTCCTTTAGTGAAAGAAAATGTTAAACTAGTTGTTCTGAATTCCATATTGCTCAATTTGAAATGAAAGTGATATGCAGCACAGAACATGAGTAAAGCTAAAGGTACTATATTTACCTCAGCAAAGGAATACAGTGGTACCTTGGCTCATGAACTTAATCCATTCCGTGACTCTGGTCGCAACCCAAATTGGTTGTGAGCCAAGTTACATTTCCCCATAAGGTTCAATGTAAATAGGGTTAATCCGTTCTGTAACCATTTTTTTTTTAATCACAAAAATTTGAAATAAAGTGACAACAACAAAGATCGTGGCCATCTCCTCCCCTCCTCAGCACAATTGTGGCCATCTCCCCCCTGCAGCACAACTGCAATCACGCCCATATTCCCTGCATGAATGGGCACTCTTGGGGGGGGGGGAATGGGCATGATCGCACCCGTCTGCCCCGCCAGTGTGCCTGCGATCGTCACCCAATGCAGAGTTTGGACCTGAAGCAAATTTTTTGTGAAATTTCTGTTCGTGACCTGATTTGGTGGTGAACTGAGGCGTTCATGAGTGGAGGTACCACTGTATAACATTGTTGATATAGAAGTCTTCTTAGATCACACTCCTAAAAGTGTGTTCTTTCATGCTGTCATTTTTTGTAAAATATAAATAGATATCATAAAGAAGCATATGCTATTTGTCTTTACATTTTTAGAAATATTCAAATAATAATTTCCAAATAAACCTTTGAATGTGTTTGAATATACCATTTAAACTACATTGTGCAATTAATATAATTTCCCCCTAAGGAAGTATTTCAGTTCAAATATTTTGTAGCTGTTAGGATAACTGTTGATATATTTAAACTGCACAGAGAACAGATTTTTATATTTGTATATAAGGTATTTTCATGAACTTATTGAGGGTGAATGTGTGCTGGCTAGTAAAAACAAGTCAAATGTGCTAAATCAGATATTAATTACAGCACTGCAAAGTTTTCAGTTCTAATTTTCCCTCAGAATCCCACATCACTGGGAGCCCCTCCAGAATGCTGTGACAAGGAGCAGACTGTAGCTGAAGGGTCAGAGGAAATGGGCACACAAAGTGAACTTTAAATTCATATTATTAATGACTGCATGTTGCATCAACCACAGGCAATATTTGTATTATTCCTGACAAACAAGCACATCTATGTTTACTGGATGCTCTTCAGTTTTGTTGCATTCAAATAGCAGGGGCAAACAGCATATTAGGATTTCCATCATGAAAACTTAGAACACTTAAAATCAGTGTGTCACTAGTGTGCCTTTCTGTCTTGTTGCTCTTTTCAATGAAAGTAATGTTCCTAATGTAGGTTTCATATATTACTTTATGTCTCTTGTGCCTTTGTCATCATATTCAGTTTGACATTTCGAATAGAGTCATTTTGAATTTTGTACTAAGTCTTTTCAGACAGCAGCAGCTTGCAGTGCTTTAGTCAGCTATGACTAACTGAAACTGTGATAATAATTTTGCACTCCTTTGCATTTTTCATCTATAATAGACACTAGCTCAGAGTCTTCTATTGTGCCAATGCAGTCCTATTTGTTGAATGCACTTGTGAAGATCAAATAGCCTGAATTTAGAAAACACAAATGATACAACATGAAAGCACAGCAAAGGATATATCTCACTGTGAGTTGTGCATGCTGGCTTGGCAGGCAAGAAAGTCCTTCTAAACCACTAATAAGGGAACCAGTCTGTATTTCGAACAACTACAGTCCTTTTTCAAAAGGAGAATAATTACAGGTAGTTAAGAACTGCCCATTTAAAAACCATATGAACACAACACTCTACTATACTTTTCCTCCCCTTCTATGCACTGTGGCAAAAGCAGTCCTTGTTTATACCGCCATAAGGATTCAAACAAGTGCACCAATTAACCAATAAACAAGTATCTAGTTTGTAATACTAAAAACTATTCTTAAGGATAAAGAAATAAGTTAGCTTTACAAAATACAAGAAAAGATGGTCAAAAGCTTCAAATGCTGATTACCTGCGAGTGCCCATTCTCCAGAACTGTGAGTATGGCCACTGTAATATAATATATAGGTATCATGTCTGGGTCCATCAGGTGTCCGAAGTTCGAGAAAAGATTTCAGCTTAGAATGGAGTTTATCAAAAGAAAGGCCACTTGTGGAATAGTCACAGCCATAACTCTCAATCATGTGATATGCAAAGAACCTTTGGATGGCATTAAGCATGCCAGTTGATCTCAAATTTAGTTCTTGTACATGCTCAGGTGGAAGCAAAGTTGGTTGGCCATCAGGACTGGAGAAAGAGAGCAAAAGGAGGCATTATCATTCATGAATTTCTACCATTAATGGAACTAGAGTCATTTTGGCTAATGGGCAGGCTAGAAAATAATTAAATAAACAGTTTCTTCATTACCCAGAGGTGAATATTGAGCTACTTCACTGTGATACCTTGTATTTTAAAATTAGAATGCTAGTTGCAAATGCCTTACAATGAACTCTAAATGACAGAGCACACAGCATATGAAATGAACATCAATTTTAACGTAGGTCTGGTTCTTATGAAGATAGTAAACAATAATCTTTCTGCAGATCTGTCCTTAGGATATATACTCTCTTACATGGAATATTCTTGTATAAGAGAGCAGTCAACCATGAGATCTGATACAACCTAGATGCTCATTTACCAGCTCAATAAGGACTAGTCATAGTCTAGAATCATTCACTGGGATAAAACTGGGATAAAACTACCTTATTTTTTATCGATTAGCTGACACAACCTTTTAAAGAATTCATAAAGTGATCACACTATTTCATAGCCTTGGGCTCCTTACTGCCAGACTTATTAAACCTTGCATATCCAGCCCACCATCCAAACAGATGAGTTTGTACAGCACAGTAGTGATGGCTGCTCTTTCCCTTAAAAATGCAAATATATCACTTCTAAGTCTGGACGAAGTCAACACTGTTTCCATAATACAGACAGTCCTGGACACTGGTAGTTTGAAGCAACCAAAAACATATAAGGTACTATCAACAGAGGTACCAGTACAAATAGCTGCGGAGGCGATGGAAATCCCAGTAGGAACCAAATAGCTGCTTCCTTTTGCATTTTACCACCTGACCTTGCATGTAATGATGGATTAGAAAAATAATGACTTTTGTCACATATCTAATGCAGACTTTTTACAAAACCATAATTCAGTGGATAAGTAAAAAAATGAAAAACTGAGTAAGTGCAGTGTAGGTACTAAGAAGTTAAAATACATATAGAAAGAATACCATCTATATATATATATATATATATTGTGCAAGTGCATGTTGGCAGGACTTTAAAATCCCTAGCAGACATTGCCTAGTGGAATGCTGTGTTGGCGTAGCTCAAGCTGCAGAATAGAAACACTGATGACAATCAGTTATTATATTGCAGTTACTACGGAAATCTGCTGTGCTGAAATGGAGAGGGCATTATAGCATGCAGAAAATTATTTTAAAATAGATTAATTTGTTATAAATGAATGGGACACCACATGTTTTAATTCAAAGAACATGTTCAGACCTCAGATCATTTGCCTTGGAACATTACACCAAATGTTAAGTATCTTTGTTTGCCTAGTGTTGAATATATTAACCCATTAATAACTTGCAGAGACCAAGGAGGCAGACAAGTTACTGTGTACAGAAATAAATTTGCCAGAAAAATGAGGAGTATCAATAGTATGAAACAACTCTGGGTTTCTGGACATCAGTTCTCCCAGAAGACAACAAAATCAATAATTTTTACTAGCCTATTTTATTGGCTGAGTTCACATGTTCATCACAGACCTTATTTAAGCTATATTTGGTTAACCGTGGTTGACCTCAGCCTAAGAGAGTGCCAGGGGAAGTCATATAGTGCTGAGGTAAGAATGAATGAAATTGGGAGAAGAAATGTATATGGTTTGAGTTTATTTTGAGTGTATAGTTTATGTGAGTTTATTTTGTGGCTTGTTGCTCAATGCTGCCCCTGCTGGCCAGCACCTGCCACTTGCTGCCCACCAGTGTATGCTTACTATTGTATAGTGTTTGTTATTGTCTGTATTTCAGGCATCAGCTGGGGGCTTGGAATTGATCTGTGCAGCTACTGGGATCCTGCTGTGTTTTGAAACATCTGCTTAAGTGTTAACTTGTGAAGCAAGTTATTAGGATACCTGCAGAAATTGGTAGGAATCACAACTGCATAACCAACACATGTTCCTCCCAAACAGTTTCCAAGTTCATGAAATAATCCATGGGCCATGGATTCAAGAGGCAAGACAATCAGAAACACACTCATGAAGATTCCATTGGATTTCTACAACAAATAAAGATATATATATATATATAATTATGTCAGAGCTATTTGTAAATATAAACTGAAAAGACCTAATTCAGAAGTTTAATTATCCTAAACAGTTATGATGAAATTTATTTTTGCATAGAAAATCAAAATACAGCTTTCAATATAAAAACCTGATTACAATTTATGACAGTAAGAATACAGCAGCTAAATGCATAGTTCCTTTAGGCATATACAGTATATCACAGGAGTACACCCCTCACATTTTGTAAATATTTTTTCATGTGACAACCCTGAAGAAACGACACTTTGCTACAATGTAAAGTAGTGAGTATACAGCTTGTATAACAGTGTAAATTTGCTGTCCCCTCAAAATAACACACAGCCATCAGTGTCTAAACCACTGGCAACAAAGTGAGTACACCCCTAAGTGAAACTGTCCAAATTGGACCCAAAGTGTCAATATTTTGTGTGGCCACCATTATTTTCCAGCACTGCCTTAACCCTCTTGGGCATGGAGTTCACCAGAGCTTCCCAGGTTGCCACTGGAGTCCTCTTCCACTCCTCCATGATGACATCACAGAGCTGGTGGATGTTAGAGACCTTGCGCTCCTCCACCTTCCATTTCAGGATGCCCCACAGATGCTCAATAGGGTTTAGGTCTGGAGACATGCTTGACCAGTCCATCACCTTTACCATCAGCTTCTTTAGCAAGGCAGTGGTCATCTTGGAGGTGTGTTTGGAGTCGTTATCATGTTGGAATACTGCCCTGCGGCCCAGTCTCCGAAGGAAGGGGATCATGCTCTGCTTCAGTATGTCACAGTGCATGTTGGCATTCATGGTTCCCTCAATGAACTGTAGCTCCCCAGTGCCAGCAGCACTCATGCAGCCCCTGACCATGACACTCCCACCACCATGCTTGACTGTAAGCAAGACACACTTGTCTTTGCACTGTTTGCGGGCTTTCTTGTGCATCATCTTTAGAAGAGGCTTCCTTTTGGGATGACAGCCCTGCAGACCAATTTGATACACTATGTGGCATATGGTCTGAGCACTGACAGGCTGACCCACCACCCCTTCAACCTCTGCAGCAATGCTGGCAGCACTCATACATCTATTTCCCAAAGCCAACCTCTGGATATGACGCTAAGCACGTGCACTGTACTTCTTTGGTTGACCATGGCGAGGCCTGTTCTGAGTGGAACCAATTCTGTTAAACTGCTGTATGGTCTTGGCCACCGTGCTGCAGCTCAGTTTCAGGGTCTTGGCAATCGTCTTATAGCCTAGGCCATCTTTATGTAGAGCAACAATTCTTTTTTTCAGATCCAGAGAGTTCTTTGCCATGAGGTGCCATGTTGAACTTCCAGTGACCAGTATGAGAGAGTGAGAACGATAACACCAAATTTAACACATCTGCTCCCCATTCACACCAGAGACCTTGTAACACTAACGAGTCACATGACACCAGGGAGGGAAAATGGCTAATAATGCCCAGTTTGGACAGTTTCACTTAGGGGTGTATTCACTTTGGTTGCCAGCGCTTTAGACATTAATGGCTGTGTGCTGAGTTATTTTGAGGGGACAGCAAATTTACACTGTTATACAAGCTGTATACTCACTACTTTACATTGTAGCAAAGTGTCATTTCTTCAGGGTTGTCACATGAAAAGATAACATATTTACCAAATATGAGGGGTGTACTCACTTCTGTGATATACTGTAAATGCATGTGAACAACTCACTGCCTACTCCCATGGCAGACAATGAAAATCCCATTCACCAGACTCAATCAATACTAGTACACCCAGTCTCTACTAATATGGTCCCCACAGACTGTATGAATTGTAGAATAACACAGATAATGTAGATGCCCTCCACAGTCCATAGGCTTCCTGCTAGTTACGGGTGCAATTTACACACAGTATGCAGCTATGAGGGTTCTGTAATATAAGTCGTTCCCCAGCCCCCCGCTCTCTCTCTCTCTCACACACACACACGGGCGCACACACGCGCGCGCACAGAGAGAGAGAGAGAGAGAGAGAGAGAGAGAGAGAGAGAGAGAGAGAGAAGCATCATAACAGGCATTTTGAATTGTGTTTGTGTATGACAGCTTATGCAATAGCACACTACAAATGTGCTCACACTTTCCAGCAATGTAGCTAGCTTCCAAAGTATCATACAAATTGCAAATTCTTTTAACATTGCATTCAATTTCAAGGACCATTTCCTGATGGTTCCAGTGGACTACAGGAAACTGAACAATTTGTGGTTTGATGTAAACCACTATGGAACAGAATTATTCCAAGGAGAATAATTTCTGGTGTGTATGTTCCATGACAGCTGTACAGGGCTGATGTAGTAGTTGCATTAAAAAAGTTAGGTTGTCTCCAATTCAAAAAAGGGCCACAGAGGGAGATGTAAAAGCATTATAACTTACCTGCCAACACACAGCCCCCAAAACTGCTGTTGCTACAAGGCTGAAAAAGACAAGCTGTTCTGAAATTAAACAAAAATGGCGCATTCCTTTAGATGCCATGACTCTGTCAAGGCTGCTGCTCTCTGCCCTGTGTGTATAATAGATTTTGTGACAGTCATTCAATTTTGTATGAAATCCCCAGAGAGTTATGAGAAAAATTACATGGCAGACCATCCAGAAAACACCAAAAATGGCAAAACCTGGTATCACAAAATACCAGAGATCCAAATAACCTAGTTTAAAGGCTGATAAAATGAAATAAATAAGTTCAATAAGTCCCACAAAGATGACTGAAAATCTTCGGCAGACTCTACCACGATAGAGATAGGGTTTCCAACGTTCTGTAACAGAAAGTCCACTGAAGTAAACATCAAGAAGAGGGTCTGTTATTAGACAGGTAAAAAAACATCCCAAGGCAAATGGATTTGGAAAAAATAAGGATGGAAAAAATAATGAAGAGGCAAGGACTCCAAAGATTACCAAATTTGGAATAGCCAGGAAGGACTTCATCCGCAAATCAATAATCAGCATTGCCAAAGCCACAACCAACAAGATAATACTCATCGACTTTTCTACCAGCATAGTTGTGCTAGCAATTGCAAATCCAACCAGCTCAAGAAATTCAACAGATGTAAGCAAAGTGGGTCGATGATGAACACAACCACATATTCTTTGCACAAAAGCATATAGTATTCTTATTATTATTGCAGAAAGCAGCAAATATTTAGTTGCTTCTTCTTTCACATCATTTTTAAAAGAATCATTGTCCAGAAAACAGAGAAGGCCAAGTAAAAATCCAAACCAAAGATTAGAGAGACTTAAACTTGCTGCTTCCATTGAAAAATAGTAATAAAGTATACTGGCAATTCCAAGAACAAACAGTCCCAGAATAAAGATTACAAGAATTAATGCATCTGCAGTCTTCTCCCACCTGACGTAAAGGCCCATACATATTGCAACCAATAGATTAATCCTGGCTAAATAGCCCAAGTACCGGACAGAGGAGTGCATGTTTACTTCTTGGTTTGCTTCTTCCAGTATTGTCATTGCTGCATAGAGGCAGTGGCTAACACAGTAACGTAGTGATCTACACATGTAAGCTGACTAGGTGGGATGGTATCCACAGAAAATTGCCTGAATTTCATCTGAGAAATGTGATGCAAAAGCAGTCTCTGGAGTATTGCTTCATCCACAAATGGTAGGAATTACTAAAGTCTGAAAGAATACACACATCAATTTTAGCATTTCAGTCAAGGGTACAGAGACAATAAACTGCACATTTATTATATAAAGACTGTAACATCTCATTTTAAGTATGACATTACGCTGACAGTGATGCACAGAATAAACAAAGGTTTATTCTTTCCTGTAAATTAATTCACAAGGAGCCTTTGCTTGGGATCTTGAATATGAAAAATAGTATCTTAAACTTCCCAGGAATATGAACAGTCAAGTTGAGTTGTATGAAATTAGTTATATTAGTAGTAGCAATATGCAATTGCTGCACAGAAGTCTGACTTCCACACAGCTAACAAAGAATTTTACAATTGTTAACCAGCCTATTATATTATAACATTAATGTTATATTAACATTCATTTCAGTCACACCATTCTGAACAGTTGAATAAATTGAACTGTAGCACTAAGTTACTTGGGGAAAATGCATGAATCCATTTATTTAGGGATACTGTGACACTCATATCTAGTGCTTCTTCATACTATTGCTTCCAAGTGTTTTAAAAAGGCATTGCAGCTGCAGAACTTTTTAAATAAACTTGATGATTTCTATTAATTTTAGTTTGATTTCAGGACTGCTTTTGGAATTACCTTAATCAGCCTGCTGGACATCCTGCACCACACAATAAAGAGGAATATTGCTCTGATAATTCTCTTGGATTCTCAGTGGCTTTTGACATCAGCCATAAGTCTTCTGAACTCTCTGACCAGAATGGGTATATATAATACTGCTCTTGGGTGGTTTTCTTCTTATCTGAACAGCCTGATCCAGAAAGTGACACTTGGAGCCTGTTCTTTGAAAGTACTGTCTTTGATCTCCCGGGTACCAAAAAGTTTCATCTTTGCCTCCCAGTAGAAATCACAAAAAGGTTGTTGGAGTCAATTTCAGTAGGGATGGGATTAACAAGATGAAACTTAATTCATATAAAACAGAGGTACTATTAGTTAAGAACACTGAATCACTTCACCTATCTATTCTGATGGATAGGTGAATATACCAATCTATTCTGAATGTGTTTACACCCCTTCTTGAAAGACTGGATACATAGCTTGAAGGATAGTTTAAGCCATTATACTTCCTAGATTTGCAGGTGCTGGTGGTTGCTAAGAGTACTTTTTATCAAGTTTTATGGAATATACTAGCTACTGCTTACCTGGAAAAGTTGGCTTTGACTTCAGTCACCTTTGAGTTTGGTTTGTTATAACTCTCAAACACTGCCCCAAAGTCCAGCAGAGAGGACAAGGGCGCTGATTAGGCATCCTCACCTCCTGCCCTCATGGGAGGAGGGGGTTGCTCGATCCACCCTCAGGAAAAAGAAGGCAAATCAGCTGGGCACTGCAGCAAGGTGCACTGCTGCTCACCTGATTCCCTTGCTTGCTGTGTATGTATCAGGCTGTGGATGCCTATCTTGCACTTACATTAACAGGGTTTTTACATGTAACATCTAGTTTTATGCTGCCTGTTTCAATGTGCAGTTATGTTTCAGTCTATGCTTTATTTTATGTTCTGTTTACTAGAAAAATAAGATAAATATATTTATTATTTTTATATTTGTTTCAACTAAATACCTTTGAAAAATATATCCTAGTTTTGTGTCATCATGTGATTTCCAGCAAAAGCAAAACTCCAGTAAAAATTTCCAGTAGAACTCTGGAAAGCTAAGAGTTTATGGAGAAAGTGCCAGATAACATTTCCTAAAATTCAAATAGAACCTTACTGCCGCATTGAAAAATAAACATGACTGTATAATATGAAACTTCGATAGTACTTAGTTCCTAGTATGCATGCCAAGAATTGGTAGTTTTTTTACATTATTTTTGCACATTTGTCATCATATTACAGGTTCAGGTTCTGATCTTTTCATAATAACTGAACTTGTTAGTATACCAATCCATCCACGTTCTTGAAATGTATTCCTTGCACTTCACATTATTTATTTGTTTATAGGCTTCTGTTGCACTTTTCAGATGGCATTCCCTTCAGAAGGCAGTTTATACAGATATAAATGCAGAACATAACTTGATATACCCACTATTGATCTTGCATGTTTCAACAGAGTTTTCCAGGAAAGTAACAACTTCATTTTCTTCAGATCTATGATTGTTATTTACTCTTTCTATACTGCCCAATAGCTGAAGCTTCAGGGCAGTTCACAGCAAATACAATCCAAGCTGGTCTGAGAATCTGAATATATGTTACCAGTTGGCAATGAGGGAACAATAAGAAATGCTTTATTCCTCACTGCACCTAACTCCAGTTCTTTCTCTGCTTCACATCTCTGTTATTTTCTTTTATTACACCTTAGCAGCACAGAGAGAGCTGTATTGAAACCTGTGCAATTTATTTTCTTTTAAATAAAAAACACACTCTTTGAAAGTCATTTATTTCAGCAAGTCTATTTTTAACTAGGAGTTTAGTTTTTGTCCTTCTCTTTTTAATTTTAATTTAACTGTACAGGGTTGGCAGATTTTGACTGTTAAGGTGTTACCTAGGGTGTGTTGTGGATGCTTCACAATTAATAATTATTACAAAAAGCACATAATGTACCTTATTAACTTTTCCAGTGCCAGCACTGCTGCACCACTGATGACAAACCTTAATGCAAGTGGTTTCTTTGTCACCACTAAAAAACTTCCTATAAAGTTTTATCTGTCAGCTGGCAAGAAATTTGGCTTATGCAAAACTACTCACAAGCAGTGCTTTGCAATGCATAAGTCTATTAACTCTATCTCAATTTATGTTTTGCTTGCTATAAAGATAGCAGGGAGCAGGATTAATCTATACCTTAACTGCTTTTAAACTTCAAACGTACTCTTATCTCTCAAGGTGTGATTTGAAACAGTCAGGCTTGGGACCATCAGATTAAACTGGGACAGCACCTGGGCAACTGATTCCTACCAAAACAAGAGGCATGTTGGTCCATTAGAAGGAAAAAAATCCAAAATCAGAATTTGACTGTTTTAAGAACATGGAGAATCAGCCACCAGCTGTTTCTTTGTTCCAAGCAGCCTTTGATGCAATGTGAAACCCAAGAAACCTCTAACAGCCTATTCTACTTAAATCTGCACAACTCTTCCTGCATTCTACCTTACGGCTGTTAAAAGCGGAAGACTTGGGTGTGACCCTCAGACCTGACTTTCCCTTTCCAGCGCCCTGTTTTCTTTAGCACACAGCTTCGTAAGAGTTCTAAAGAACTAGAAAACTATCGTGTGATATTTCGACAAGCCCTAAATACCGAATGCTGATTTTTGGAAGATCATTATGGAGTTTTTTAATAATCACCCAACTTCCAAAGTTACAGCTAAGGTCTTGAAGCTAACTGACTCGATTTGTGAAAAGTACTGCCTTACGTATTGCAACTTACACTTCCTTACAAAATTAAAGATGTCGTACAAAGTGGAGGGGAAAGGGCCAAGATAAGAACTGGGTATCTCCTCCTGCCCACCGACGGGAGACTGACATGCGTGTCTAACTGGGAGTCAGTCGAGAGGCAACACGAGCTTCCCTACGCTGCGTTTTCTTCTTTGCGCCAGACCCAATTCCAACCTGCGCTGGCTGATGAAGAGTCTCTTGCGGAAGGGGCGGACAGGCGAACACCAAAAGGGAAGGAAAAGGCCCAAGCCAGAAGGAGACAGAGGCAAGCGGGAGGGAACCACCCACCACTTGTAGCCTCTGCTGAGCAAATTAAGCAATTCTGAGAGAACCCTGAAGTAGGAGAGGCCGAAGTCTCTCGTCGGCCCAGGCCTCCGCTCGCCTCAACCCCCCCTTTGCCACGGAGGAACAAGCCGCCGTGGTTATTACGATTCGTATACCTGCCCCTCCTTTTCGCTCCACTACCCTCAGAACTCACCTTGTGCCACTTGCTCCGAAAAGTTCCCCTCCCGCCGCCATTTTAGCATTTCCTGCTCCGCGGTCCGTCCGAGTACGGGGCGCGGGAGGGCTCAAACAGCGCAGAGCCCGGTACCTCGTAGGAGGGGGAAGGGGCGACCAGGTTGCCAGCGGGGAGAGAACAGCTACAGCCCCCGCCGCCGGCTCAGCCAAACCCCAGGCCGACTTCACTCTTCCGGGGATTTTCGAGTCGGCCGCTGCCCAGCGCTTCCGCAAGGGACATCCCACCACGCAACTCCACGTTAATCCCGCGGAAGGGGTTACTTTGAAATCCGCTGTTGCTCGCTGTCGCCACTGTGGTTCAGCGGCAAAAGCCAGATGGGCTTGCCCGCAAGGCAAGCGTTCAGCCAGGGAGCCAGTGCAGAAATTCAGGTGGTTGGTTTGTTTTTCAGTCCTTCCTGTTCGCAGAAGCAATGCAATGTGTTAGGTCGTGCTGCATTTGGAGCACGTTTCAGGGCGTTTACTGTGGTCGAAGCAGAGGGGCTTTCCCAGATAGAGGAGTGGTTTAAACTTCCAAAGGTGCAGGGGGCTCTGCGCACGGGCAGTTTTTCTTTCTCTCCGAGAGCGAAAAGTGGTTACGAAAGAAAAGGCAAACATGCCTTGTCTCCTCGGAAGGTTTCCTCCTCGCCTGCTCCTCGTCCGAAAGGGGATATGTCCTACATCTAATTTAAAAAAGGATAGTTCATCGTGCGCAACTGTACGTCATACTGCACCTAACAGCGCTACCCCCCGGAATAAGTTACAGCACACTTGAATTAGGTTTACTTGGAAGCAAGCCCCGGAGAGAAGAGTGTTGGACCGTGGGCAAGGATCCCAGGAAAGGTAGCCTTCCGCTCCAGCAGCACTGCTATTCTCATTTTGCAGACTGGCAGAACAACGTTTGGATGCCCTGCTGCTGCCTGGGAACGTAAAGGCCAGGAGAGCCCTGCACTGACTTTAGTTGAGTTCATGGTAAGGATGCTTAACCTTTACAACTTAAAGGTATGCGTGCTCTGTGGTCAGTAGAACATTCTCAGATACGAGTTGTAGGTTGAAGGGAACAATCCCAGAGCTTCTCTGAGCTGGTAACCGGCCTCCCCTCGTCCCCAGCAATTGTAGATGGAACTGCACTGGCTTGGCTGTGCTCTAAGATAACATTTTGAGGGGAGGAGACAGGTGCAGCCAGCAAACAAGGTATCCTGGGAAAGCTCCAGCATCCTCCTCATTAAGCTGTAGCTAGACTGTCTAGCAAAAAAGCAGTCCTGGAGGAGCACTAATGGGCAGGTCAGTGGCACCTACTCTGCACTGGGTGCACCTCTGAGTGCCAAGTACATACTTCCTTATAGGATTGCACCCTTTGCATGCATGTATATATATATATATATGCTGTGTACAGTACATGTATACACACTAAGAACAAATTTTGTAGGTGTTTCCTGACTAAGTACCCTTCAGTTTTGGGAACAGGCTACAAAGACAAAATGTCAGCATGTATACTGGCAGAACAATAGGATACTTTTAATACAGACAAACCACTTTCTTGTCAACTCTATGTCAGGTTGTTCAATAGAGGAACTAAAAAGGTGGATGTTAATATGAGAAATGGATAGTTCTTGTAACAATAACTACCTGTAGAACATTTGCACCAAAGGACATCTTCAGTGTCACTGTGACATTTTAAGATGGCACTGAATTGTCACCTCTCACCGTGGGAAAATTCATAGTTTTGAAGACCAGTAGGAACATCTCGATCAAGAAGGCATTTTTGCACATAAATGGTAGGGATTCTTAACTTCAATATCTTTTGGACAACATCAGATACAATTTAATTCTGTGTGATTTATCAAATCTGCCATGCCTGAGCAGATTGTTACACTCTGCCCAAAGGGGTAGCTGTATTAGACTAGCACTGCAAAACAAGTGGCACAAAGTACTACAACAGGTTTTATATCTTTACTGCTAGATTTGATTTGGGTATATTCATAACAACTATCTCTACTTATTGTTTTGTTTAAAGGTTACCTATTTCCTAAATTAACAAGACTGTTCAGAAGGATTTTTTGGTAAAATACTGTATTAACAATGGGATGAGTGGTAATTAATAGTTCCCTATATAGCAAAAAGAATACATTTCAGTTAAAGGTTCCTACCAAGAACTGACAGTTTATCTAACAACTATAAATAGTTGATGTTCACTATGTATTTTTCTGAAATAAAAGCAGTTACAGCAGGCAGAGGAGTTCCAAAGAATATTCTCTGTTGCATATGGGTTGCATCCAACATTATGTGAGCAGACTTCCCTTTATTCTCCTCCCTCCTGTTCCCCTATAAATATGTTCTCAGGAGAGTGGCAAGGAAGAAGGGGAAGCTTTATAGTTTCAATTCTGCTGGTGGATGCCACATTGGGTACAACCAATCATGTGTTGCTGTTCATATGGGGATACTTTTTAGAACCATAAAGACACTGGAGGTAGGAAATTCTACCTACAACTGGGTATATTAAAAGTGATTTACAAATGGATTAGTCCCTTTAACAATTTTCAATACACCCAAATTGTGCATAACATCTGGTATAAACAGTCATGTAGGTACCATGATTTCTGCAACAACATATTCTTGTTATATACTACAATTGCATTCTTAGTAGTTAGAAGCAAACAGTATATATCAGTAATACTCTGAAAACTGTTTTACTTTTTCTTTTAATGTGTTCTCACAGAACGTAATGAAGAAAAACCAAGTGCAAAGATTATTGGTATATGTCCATCCTTGCATAAAACTGGATATCTTCGTCCACACAGTTAATCCTAGAATCTTAAGTTTTCCAGATCTATACAACTGCCTTGACAGCTGCAATTCTAGTGAGACACCAGAGACTTTTATAAATGAAACAGCAAGGAATCCCTTAAAAAATACACAATACAGACAACTATTACTTCTGAAGAAAAATCATTTTGAAATAAGTATCTATTAGGGCACTCAAAAAAACAAAAAAACAAAAACAAAAAACACCAGAAGCAAACAAAAGACCCATAACAATTTCACCAAGCCATCAGGTATTACTGGCCAACTCCTACCATTCAGATTTTTAACTATTTCATCTACATACATCAAGACCTAGATTCCAGGATCTGAATGAGTGGGAAAACAATGACATTAATGCACACAACATAACAAATGCATTGTACTAAAGAATTCTACAGTATGGGAGGGAGGTTGTTTGCTAATATTGAACAGCACATCATGCACACTGGAGTAGTAAACAGCATTTTGTAAGGAGAAAAAGGATAGCACCAACATGTTAGCTTTAATTATTCCAACAATTCTAAAAGAAAACTAGGAAGCCTTTAATGTCTTGTGAAAACATGGTTAGCGTTAGATGTAGGCAACCTTTCTATTTGTTTAATAAGCAACAAATTTTGTTCAATGGCAATCTGAAAAGCCACCGTCTCATACATACAAAGTGGCACCTGCCTTCTTGCAAGATTGGCTGTCACTACATATACCGCTCATCCCGACCAACTCTGGCATGGTGGCTGTACTGTTCGTATTGTAACAATGAAATTTTTTAATCAAGGGCTAGCCAAAACAATCACAGTTACAGTATGGAAAATTAAGAGCTGCACAGCAAGGACAGGATACAGAGGTGGAATTCCAAAGGTCATCTTGGACAGGTCTGCTTCCCAGCACCATCAGTAGCAGCTGCCCACAGTTTTGCTGTAAGAAAAACCTCTAAGCATAGGAGTGCTATTAAAGGGATGTTTTTACCCCCTGAAAAAGGGCAGGGTGGGGGAGAGGGAGAGTGTAACCGTGTGTGAGTGGAGGGGAGGAAATTTATGAAAGCTACTTCTACCCTTTACATAAAGTTATCACTAATAAGAAAGGCAAAAGGTGGAGGAAAGAAAGGGTAAGATAGGCAGAAATGGATAGCTTGGCCTTGCATCCCTAACAGTGTGTCTCTTCTTGTGCTCCAAGACTTAGAACTGGTTCAGACTGCTTTGTTAGATGGCTACCTTAGGATGAGTCATTAGGTTGTACTTTAAGCATAACTGTACTATGGCTACTGCAGGCAATCAGTTTTGATCATCCATGAGATTAAAAAAAAAGTAGTTACATGCAAGAAATACAAAAACATGTTTAAATACAAAGCAACACTACAACATATGGAAGTTGTGTATAAAAACTACTTAATGCAGTATGTAAAAAGCAAGTTCAGAAGTCCGTACAGAAACTTCAGTAAAAACTTTGGTGAAAGTGTAAAATTTGCACTTATTTAACACCTCTCCCAACACACAGTCCTACTTTTCAAGCTTTATAGTAAAGCAATCAATGGTGGCTGAAAAGAGAGTCATCTGGGTAAATGTAACACTGCATTTTTAGAACACTGTGGTTTTGCTGAATATTCCAACTTGCAGCAGCCTAAATTCACATTCAGACATGCAAATACAAGTGTCTTTAATCAGTTAGTAAATAGGAAAATCATCATTAACTACAGGTGCTCAAAAATTCTGGTGCAGCTAAAAAGGGAAAAATGTTAGTGTGGTTATTAAACAGAGTTAAAAAGGAGACTGTTCCATTATAGATTAACTTGTAATTTTTTTTTTGTAACTACCACTAAAGTTTAGCTTCTAAATTTGAAACCGTTTTTAAGGGTATTATGCTGTTTAGCTGTCCAGCCAGCCAGCTGGCCTACCCTCCAAGCATTCAGGAATCTTCCACTTGATGGGTCATCTTAACAAATCTTAAATGTTTTTGAAGGATAATGAGGCCCAATTCAATGCTCTGCTGATTTCATATAATCTAAGATTTCCAGTCACGACAATGTAACCTAGATTTTCCTACTCAAGTACTTTATTGCAAAATGCTTTGAATGAAAAGATACTAGGAAAAGGAGCAGTGTGGAGTATGTTGGCAGAATAAAAAAACAACAAAAATACCCTAGCTCTGAAATGAACAAAAAAAATCTGTTTAGGCCAGCATGTTATGTATCATTCCACAAACGGAGCAAGGATACGAGGATCTAATCTCCAGACAAATGTAGTATTAAAAACAATTTAAGTGAGCCACTTTGAAAACATTTTCATTTTACCAGATCAAAATTAAGTCAAGCAGAACTTCATTCTATATTTTTGTTCAAGTCAAATGCTACCCAATCTTTCTTAGACATTTAACAGTGCATATTATCTTTCTGCACAAATGTCTGAGAAATGCTAACATGGAACCTTAACCATAACAAGATTAAAATATTAAACCAAGATACATCAGTATATTTTGAACAATCACAGTTCACAGCACTTGAGGGATGGGGAAATGGTACCTTTCTGGAGTATTTTACCAATACAAGTATTAAAGTAAACCCTATTTATGCTATGACATGAGCCATTCTGCATAAAACACACTTCAACTTTCAATACAAGAATAAATTTTAAAATTCGTAAGTAGAAAAAAATAGTGACAGTTCTCAAAACCCTTTTGCATTTTCTTTTTTCAAATACTTTATGTGCAGAGCAGATGTCAGTTTAGCAAAGTTAGTTTTACAGTAAAGGGAGTTTGGACTCTGAAGCAGATTTTAATACATTAACTTAGAAGCAATATAGGATCTTCTAGCTCATAAAAAGGGATAGAGCTGGCCTGGCTTTCCCCAGAGTCAGAGTCATAAGGAGCATCTGGAAGCTCCATAAAGCTGTAGGCCAGTTGTTCATCTTCAGCATCTGATCGGATATAGCAGGAATTATTAGAAAATTCCTCTTCTTCTATACTGTTGAAATCCTGGGGGATGTATAACATCCCTGGATAGTTCCTGCTCACCAAGTCACTTGTTGTTTTAAGTGAAATTTTCCTAAATGCCATGAGATGCATATGAGAAAACTTGGAATATTTGAAACGTTTAAAGCCCAAGGATTCTATAGCAATTTTCCAGCTTTTCATCATCATAGCATGGCGATTCTGATGGGAAGAGTCAGGAGTGATAATAAGCAGCAATCCATTTAGTACAAGCAGTTCATGAGCTTTTTTGCAACATATCCATCGTTGATAAGGTGATGGGAAGTAAGAAAGGAGAAGGGAGAAAACCACAATATGGAATAATTCTCCAGGAAGAGAATCAATAGGATTTTTCAGCTGTTTCAAAAAAGCATCAATGGCATCTTGTGCAAGCTGAAGAGGCTGCTGAATCTGAAGGTTTAAGAAGTCACATTTGTAGACACTCTAAAGGACAAAACACAGAAACAATTATAAATTCTCAAGAAATTGGCTATATTAAAACCTAGTATTTGAAGTATGGTTGCATCCCATTTTTTAAAAAAAGTTAAAATTATAGGATTTCTAGAGCAATCAATTACATTTTATTTATTATTTAAAATATTTATATACCATCCTTCATTAAAAAATCCCAATGGTTTACATAATGGTTTACGTAATTCTTTAGACAATATAACCACAATACTATGGTTAAAAAATTCCTTAGTATAATTCCTTATACTTGATATAAAAATTAAAACACCAGTTAATAATTTAAAAAGTGGGTAAATAAAAAGGTTTTGGCCTGGCACCAGGACGAATACAGTGTCAGCGCCAGGTGCACCTCTGGAAAGCAAGTTCCATAATAAGAAGCTAGTTTTTATATATTTAATGATTTTTTCATTAACTAAGCAATCAAGATGCTTTTTTTTAGGTAATGCACAGGTATCATAGTAGGCATTCTCTCTTATGTGACAGAAAAGGGAAAATGCCTTCTAAAATGGTACTTGTTATCTGTCATTTTTTTGAACTACTTATATTAATAACAACTTGAAAAATACATCTTCTGCATGATTAACTAGAGGGCAACAGATTTTTTAAAAAATCTGTTTAAAATTGCAGCTCATTTTTAAAGCTAAAGGTGTCAAATGATTATAATGCTTATAATTATACAAAGTGAGGGCTACAATGCTTGTTCAAGTCAAAAGCTATCCAATCTTTCTTAGATATTTAACGGAATATATCTTTCTGCAGAGATATGTTGAACACATTGACTTATGACACTTGAAGAAATCTGTCAAAAATAAATTCATCTAAAGTATATGAACATCAGTCACTACTCAAGTTTTACTGTAATACAACTTCAGATGAATTTAATAGTATATTATGTAAAATATCTGGACATATTCACCAGAATTAATTTCAGAATGGTTATCTTGAATACACAACACTATTTAATTACTAGTTTTACTTTTTGTGATACATTGGAAAAGCTTAAAGTGGAAAGTAAAAAGCTTTAAAAACACTCAAACATTGCTAGTAACCAAGTGATCTGCTCTTGGGGATACACTGCCTTTGTTTCATACCTCAACAGCTGGAACAATATCAATGCCAACAGTCAAAAATTCCTCAAACTTCAAAAATGGATTAAAACAGCTACCAACATCAAGTAATCTGATCTTTCCTGAAGGATGTAGCAATCTAAACAGAGAGAAATTCAATCTGTGAAATCAACTTTTTAAAATAAATACCCAATTCTTATTATAGAAATACTATTATTATGTAGAATCTACATTTTTTTGAAATAGGAAACATGTTATAGCTGCAGTTTTACAGTTATGGATTGATGACAACACTCCCTTCCACCCCCACATCCCCATGTCAGATTGACTTTGCAACAAGCTGATGTTGAGACATTTGCAAAGAAGCCTTATCTACTACCTGTACTCTCCAGCATTCCCCCATATCCCTGATCTTTCAAATGTTTCCCTCTCTCCTTCCTACTGTACTTCACCTTGTAATGTTTCAGCTCCTGTGAAAAAGAAAGGTAGTTTCTTCCTCCCTCTACTATCAGGCTCTTTGTAGGGTGCTTTAAGGGGGAGGATCTCCATATGGGTTCCAAAAACAGAAAATAAACATCCAGAAAAAATAATATAAATAGATTCAACTGGATTTTGGGAAATGAGGCCTTCCAATTCTTGTGAGCTTTGCCTGAATCTGCATGTAATGCAAAAACTCTACAGTGTTTATATTGACACGTGCTTCTTTTAAGTAATGTCTTGTAGGGCCAACTGTGTATATATGTTTGAACAAGTCTGTCTATGCTGCGCTTAGGTACCATCACAAATAATTAAAAATGGTTTTTTTTATTTGTTTAGCACATTACATTCAGGCTATTTAAGGCATTATTTAGGAATTCAGCATTCTAGTAATTTATCATATGGCTACAAAGTATCCTAATAGTTTAGCATTGTGTTAAACGTGTCTGCATGCAGTATTTTCTTGTACCATACAGTCATATTAGACAACAGCCTCTTAGGAGAAATGCTATGAAAATAATGTTTGTTTATCCAGGTTCTGAAGTACTGCATACTTATAATACTTCACACATTAGCTCAAAAATACTTTTTACAATGTAAGGCTGGGATGATTGCTGAAGATGAGATAGGCTGACCACATTTAAAGAATAAAGTAACTCCTTCCCATAAGCATACCTGATCTCTATTAAATACTTACTCATCCATTACAGAACAATTGTTTGAACTTTCAGAAGAATCTTCTGTTTTTGCAGTTGACTGAACACTTGTGGATTGAACACCTTTAGAAGCAAGTACAGCTCTTTTCTCATCCTTTTCCAGTGCTTTCCGTTGTCCACCATTTTGAAAATATTCCCGAGAAACACTTTAAAAAAGGCAAAGACAAGTTATATTCTAAAGCACCTTATCACCCATGTATAAATATGGGTGAATAAAATCAATCATCATTTAGGCAGCATTAGTTTCACGTCACATCTAAAGTTAACAGTTATGCTTTAACAGTTATGAGATTGATCAAAACTATGCAAGATAGTGTCTTGAAACCATTTGTCAGTATTGCATAGTTCATTCAGTATCCCATACAATAACACATCTTGTTTGATACAGTTCTACCTATTTTACAATACCGCTCTCTTCCTCCCCAACCTTCATTCATGGCTCTTCTTTAACTGTATTCCCTATTTTATCTGTCACTTAGAACCAGCAATTAAACTGTAGATTCACAAATTCAAGTGCTTTAATTTGATTGCACAAACAAAATCCATGAATTTCATACCACCACATTATAATTTCTACTATTACAGTGCTCTAGTATCAACTACCTTTGCTTTAGAAGCCAGGATATATTTTCATATTTATTACATTCATATCCTGCCTTATTTTTTCCTGCAGAGAACCCAAGGAGGCTTTCATCATCTGCTTCCTCAAGCAGATGAGCTACTTGTATAACTGGAGCAAACAACTAAGATTCTTTTTAACATTCTCAGGTCTACCAGTACATAGTTTTAATCCATGCTTCAGGTTGCTCTTAGGGATGTGGCTTGGAAGCATTTGGCAACAGATCTTTCATCAGAACTTGCCCCCCATTTGTTTAACTAGTACATATTTCTGTTTGGTTTCTCAAATGTAAAGATGGTTACATACATTAAAAACTCAATACCCAAAATCTGAAAGCATTATGCAGAGGAATTAGGTTCTATCTAAGTGTAATTGTACAATTTTCCAGCAGAGATTTAGAAGGCAAATTTGTAACCCAAGTTTAAATGTTCTTGTTAGTATAAGGCCATGCAAAGACTTACCTGCAGCACCATTCAATGCGGCCCTCTCCTTCAGAAGTTTTAGTCCAATGATTATCTGCCAGGTTTTTCATTGCCTCAGCATATTCACAAAGAGTTTCTTCATCTTCACAATGCTCACGCCAGATTTTATCAAAGTCTCCCACTAAACAAATACACACACAACAGGGGTATAAATCATGAGGGAATGGCTATCACAGCCTAGAATATGAAATCCCTACTGTTCCAGCCTCTATCAGAATGAGGAAGTACCCTCACTGTAGCTATTTAACAGCAAAATCAGAACTTTACACAGCAGCTTAGTTTTCTATGTACATTATATATTACCCCAAGAAATGCAATTTAGATCTCCATCTAGTCATACAGGAATATATATGAAACCTCATTTAAAGATTAAAAAAAGAATATTGATCTTTGGAAGAAAACATCTCTAATATATTTGTGGAGAACATATATTTTCACTTCATATACCACATACAAAAAGACACCTCATTTAAGTTAATGGGGTAAAATAGTGAAAGCTTTCACAATTTTCTCTTTTGGAAGCCATTTGAGAGTCTTTTCCACAATATTTTTAAAGGAAACATTATATTGAAGATGTATTGTCTTTGACCTTTAAAGTTATTCAGACCATTAGATGAGCTCAAGTTCCTATATTTTCCTTACTGTTATGGTTAAGAAAGAGGATACAGTGGCTTTTACTCTACATAGTAAGTTATTCACAGAACTCAACTCTTTCCTTTCCTAGCATGTATTGCTACCAGACTCACTTAAAGGTGGGAGCATCCATTAGGACAGCTGAAAAGAGAAAACTTGTTAACTACATTCTTGGTCCTAATGCTTCCTTTTCAAGCCCATACTAGGGAAGTGACATTCATCATGGGCAGATTCTTCTGAAGTAAAATTCTCCAGAGACAGAAAGTCAATCCTTCCTTATGAAAGTGTTTGCTTGTTTTTATGGCTCAGTAAGCAAACTACAATATCAGATTACTAATAAAACAAACTATTCCCTGTCCAAAATTGAAGCTTGCTCTAAGCACAATTTCCTGAACATTCTAAATATATTGATAGAACCAATATTGCAAAGCCGTACCTTGTCTTCTAAATAACTGATAGTTCTCTGACCAGTTCCTGTCTAGTAACCACTGAAGTGCTAAACCAGATGGAAAGCTACCAGTCTATAAAGTGCTGGCAGGGTCATACTATTTTATGCAATGCATTTGAAAACAAGAAACACTAACCTTCTATCTTATATATTCTTTCCCAACTGTCAGCTTTTTTTTTTGCCCTTAAGCCTTCTTAACCTGTTCCTCACAGAGAAGCCTCATTTTCTTTATGCAGTTTAGATACATTTAAAAGTTAAGTTGAATTGAACAGGGCCACAAGACTCCCTGGAGAAATTTCTTTTCCCAGGGTTATCAAAATGGGTGATCATGATAGGTAAGCTGTTAACATTATAGAACAAAAGGTATTTATAGGTTTTCTTCACCCATTCCAGCATAACTTTCCCCCACTGAATGCTCAAAAGTAACTTAGCAGATATTAAGGGATAATTAATAAGTTTCTTAAAAAATAAATCTGAAACTCCAAATTATTGCACAAGGTAAGATGCTACTTTGCTTTTAGCAGGGAAGGCTTGGAAACAACACTATAACTGTGTGCTTTGAATTTTAAACTCCTTTCAAATTTTAATGCTTCAGGTTATAGCTTCTAAGTTATACTACTACTTGTTGTACTACTAAGTTGGGACTGGTAGGCACTTGAAATCACTTTGATACTGACATGAATTTTAACTACACATGGACCAGGGTACACATTGTATTTCTTAGATTTCTACTTAATTTTATGAAGCAAGGCATATTTAAGCAACTAAAATGGGTGCATTACTAGCTAAATCTAGAAGAGTACAAATAAACATTTTTCCAAAAGAAATATTTATGAGTACAACTCTTCAGGCATGTCTGAAGTAATGTTAGTAGTTTTCAGCACTTTCACTTCCCTTTTAATATTTAATAAAATAAGTGGTTTATACTGTTGAGCTGCTATGTCTTAAGATATTTCTAGGTATTTCTAGTAAAAAAAATTCCAAATCTTTAAATTTTCTTGAATATAATATTTAGAATGGTGTACCTTGAGTTATTCTCCACATAAATATTTCAGTTCAGCTGCTTTTTTTCTAGTTAGGGAAACATTTCAGATGTTTATAACATGTTAACATGAAACTTTTAAAGGTTTCTTTTTTAAAAAAAAATCCATGTAAATCAATCATACTAGACCAGGTCAGTATCAATTAGGGCAATGGAAAATTTCAGAAAACCTTGTACAAAGTTTACACCATTGCTAGTAAGGAACCTCTGAAATTACTACCTCCCATTGTGTTTGAATGGAAAAGTACAGCATTTTTAACAATTTATACATCGGTCACATATGAACAGTGAAGCATTATCTTCGAAGTTACACTAGTTTACTAGGCACTGTAAACACATCTCATTCATGGTAAGGCATTTATAGGAAGACAGGGAATGTGAAAATGGCAGAGAAAACTGCAATAAAATCAGTAAAAAAAGCAAGTGACACCTTATTGTTCCAGTGTTGTTATGAAACTACAACCCAGAGACCCATAAAGTCTGCTATCGCTGGCAACCCCACTCCCTCAGCTATTCATGCATCTTTCACAAGCTAGCACTGCTATCCCCTTCTCCTCTAAGTCATCTTGGAAGAGTTTCTCACTTCATGCCGGGCACTGAATCAGAATTACACTGCTTCTGGGCCCCAAAGCCTACCATTAACTGAAAGATTTCTGTTCTTCCACTAAGATGTCTGTACATGCCAGAGGACTTTGGATGGAAAGGTGTTGTGAAGTAACTGAAAATAGCTGGTGAGTAATCCATGCCACAGTGTGCATATGCCTGCTTCAGTCATATTGGCTCTTGTTCCCTTCCATACATAAAGGCTTTCATGCTTTTGTAATGTTATTTAGGTAACAGTGTACTTCTAAACAAAAAGACTGTCAACAAGGACAAAAGTTTAATCTAGAACAACTTCAAGATTTATGATGTATCTGTCAGCAACCCCCCACCCCACAAGCCAATATTTAAGTTTAAAATGTAAGACTGCCAAGACTTCTTTTCACTACCACCTTTCAAAGATAACAAAGGGAAACTATTCCTGCTGGGTTTTTAGAATATATAGTTTTTGGAAAAGCTACATATTATTAATTTCACTGTTGTGTACTCATGCCTCACCTGAATAATAAGAGAGAACTGATGTGTTCTACTTTGAAATGAGATTAAAAAGTACCTCTTGTCTTATGATGCATAGTTGGATTCCAAGAATGTACCATAGTAGCACATTCACTTGTGCACATAATAGATACAAGAAGACAGAATTGTGAATGTGTAATTAAAGGCAGAATATGAACTCTGACTATAACATGCATTCTTTATACCTTTCCATTATAAAGGCTTTTCTTTCAGCAACTAGGTGTTGAATTTTTCCATTTCTTAGATCAGCCCTAGGCTAGTAAACCTGAAAGTCTTGCAAACAAAAATTAAATGAGTGAATATATTTGTTATATTGCCCACTAGTTTTCCTGTGAAGGATATGGGGGCACATTAGAGCCTTAGAACCAGATATTAAAAACCACTGCAGATTTTTTTCCTGCTTGCTTGGATTTAGTAAAACTTCATTAGAAAAACCTCAGGACCATTAGGCTACCATTAATACAGTTTTACTGCAAACCCTCCCCCCACTTTTTCTTTGCTTACAAATTCTGGAGCTAGAAAAGGCCTATCTACAATTTGCATAAAATGCAGAAGAACAAAAAGAGCACAATCTGCAGAAACTAATATGTCAGGAGAGGAAATTTCTTCATCAATGAAGTTCACAGGAAACTCTTGCAACCTTTGTGAGGAAATAACTGTTTTGTAACTTATTTATTATTAATTGAATATGCATTTGTAAATATATATCCATGTATTACATAATGTATAGAGTTAACAAATTTGGCATTTGTCCCAAGGATTTAAATTTTAGGTAGGGGAGGGCATAACATACACAAAGAGAAGGAGGAGAAAGGGAGGTAAGGATAACCTTGAATGAGTGCAAGCAAATGCAGTTATTCCCACTTGGGCTTCATTTAATTGTGAACCAGAACATGAGGGCCACAGCATTTTACCAGAGTTATTTCACATAGCTGAAATAGCTCTGGAAAATTTTAGGCAAACTAGTCACCCCAAAGCCACTTTTGAAATGTATATTTCTTCTGCTGCCATGTGAAAAGGTTTTCTATCCTCATTAATACACAAATAGCCTTTAATTTTAGGATATCTACAATTCCAGGACTGACAAGCCATCTATTACAAGAGCAATAAACTATATTAGCATAACACTTAATTACCTTATTAGATTCCCTACACAAAGTGGATGATTCTAGTCAAGGCCCTCTTAAGACCAATTTTTCTGTCAGCAGAATTTCCCCTAGCACAAATGTAACAGAGTTATTGCATATATTTTCAACTGGTATAGTATATATTTTAGTAAAATGGGGTTTGCTAGCAAAGGAAAACCTATAAACATACTTATAATAAAGAAAAGTTATATGCATAAGATAATGATGACAATGTAGCTTGCACACACACACTTAGAAAAGTACCACAGATAGCATTAAATGTATGAAATTAACAATCCTATATTCATCTACTGAGAATAAGTTCTACTAAACTCAGTGAAGCTGATTTTTAAGTCAACTTGTATAGTAGTGTGCTGTAAATAATCAGTTCAACAAATACTGTTACAGACTACCCTAAAAAGCAAAAAAAAAACCCCCAAAAAACCCTTGTCTTCCCTAAATCCCATTCCATATTATCTCTCCGAGCAGTCTTTTCTCAATTTTATAGAAATCATATACATACACCCAACACTAGCAGCATAATATTTTCTTGACAGCTAATACATGATTTCTAGAATCATAACCCAACATACAGCTATACACAGCTATCCTAGTATAGGTGCCATCTCTTATACCTCACATTTTCTTAGGATGGACCTTAGGATGTTGACATGCATATCCATCATTTAAAAAGGAACGTGGGAACAGCACTGAGCAGGTGCTTACAAGTTCTACCTATGCAAGCCAAAAACTATAATCAGTAGCCATTCTCCTGAGCAAGCCCCCATCCCCTGACAGGGCAGCATATTTATTTACTTATTTTTCTATTTATATCCTGCCTTTTTCCTACAAAGGGCTCAAGGCAGCTTACACCTCCTCCTCCAACTTATCCCCACAACAACAACCCTGTGAGGTAGGTTGGGCTGAGAGTCTGTGACTGGCCCAAAGTCACCCAGTTGGCTCCATGGCTGAGCAAGGACTAGAACTCAGATTGTCTGAGTCCCAGTCCCATGCTCCTAACCACTACACCACAATGGCTCTCCATATTAGGTTGAATACTCCTGCCTGTAAGTTCTCCAAGCATTTCCTGTGCAGGCCACCCTGGTCTTAACAAACAGAAAGACTGGTGGAAAGTGACTAGTTAAGACACAACTATATGGAGGCCACTCTGAGCAACTTCAGCCCAAGGTGTCCAACTTTCCCATTTCTCTTTCCTGCTACAGAGAAAGAAAAATAGGCAGTAGGTGAGGCTTCCTGGTTTAGCCCTGGGTGGCCAAGATTCTCTATATACCTTGGCTGCACAGCAGTCAAACACACTCCAGCCAGTCAACACTGCAGCTGGGGATATGACAGGGGCTGCCACACAATTCCAATAGGTTCGTGGCCCATCTTCCAAGTTTCAGAGTTGGGATGATGGCCAGTTCTGTGCTACACTTGTCAGAGGGCAGTGTCATACTTGGCATAGCAAGTAGATTTGTCAAGACCTGCCTGAGAGCCTCTGAAGACCCTTCATCTTCTCACTTTCCATGTGCACATTGAGGAATGGAAGAAGAGGGAATTCCGTAACTGTTTTGTAGTCTCACTTGTGTGCCCTTTGCTATTATTACTGCATTACATTTCTACAACCCCCATAGCTGAAGCTCTCTGGATGGTTCACAACATTTAAGTCACCCATCTAGATTTCAACCAGACCCGACCTTGCTTAGCTTCCAATATCAGGCAGGATCAGACACTTCAGGCTGAAATAAGCTTCCTAAACAACAGAATAAATTAAGAGCATTCTCTGGTGTAGCAAAGCTGGAATACCTTCAAGAGAACAATATCCATTATGTTCTAACACATTTTAGAGCAAGCAGCACTTTTTCAAACACAGCCTGTAAATATGTTGTGAATCCATTCACCACTTTTACTGTGCAATTTTCCTCATTTCCCCCTCATTCATTTTCACTATGCCTTTGCAGTTGTCGGGATATAATCCCAGTTCTAGGAGAAAGGAGCTGAGATCTAGGAGACAGCAGCTGGAGTGCGACTTGAATGTCTGCTTGGATTTGAACGTCTGGATGCAAGTAAGGCACCCTTCTCAACACTTTTTTTTGTTCATGCCCACTCATGCCAACTAAATTCTTGTGGAAAACAACTTATATTATCCCTGCAGCTATCTTTCAGGCATTCCAAATCAAATCAGACTTTTTTTGGAAAGACCTATAGGAAAACTTCCAGACTTTACAATCTAGGCAACAATTTACCTTACATTCAGTACACAAGTTAGCTGGATGATTCCTTGTTAAGATTCCTGACCTACTGTTAATACAGCTTATAAGAGCGGATAGATTTAAAAGAAAACACTAGAACCAGTGTGTCATTTGAAATCCATTTGGAAAACAGAAGTCCGTATTTTAACACAGAAGTGGACCACTTACTCTGGAAGCCATGAAGAGTAATTCAGAGCCACCCAAATGGAACGACATGCCTTCAGGAAATACCTCAAAACATATCCTTTCCTTCTCTTTTCCCACCCACTTTGAGGATTTTCCGTTTTGCTATTTTTTCTGTGGCTGCTCTCCATTCTTAAATGGAAGGGGCCATAGGCGACACCATGTCCTCCCCCAAGACCCAGGGCCCAAAGGCGCTACTCATTTGCACCACGCCCACGCAGCGAGGGGCCTAGAGGGAGAGAAGAAAGGGGGCGGCGCCCGGGCCCGACTTCCCCACCAGGCCCGGGCTGGCCCTGCTTCCCCAGCCTCCCTCAGGCACTACAGGCGGCTCTCCGCAGCCCCCTGCTCTGTCCTCGGCTGCTTCGGGAGCGGCGGGCGGGAGCAGAAGCGGCGAGCCGGCCACGGTTACCTTCCCGGTATTTCTTGCGCAGCCGCCGGTGAACGCTCTTCACCACCCCGGAGAGCTTCTCCTGCTGCAGCTTCCGCTCTTGTTCCCGGGGCGGCGGAGGCAGAGACGGGACGGGGGCAGAAGCACCGACGGGGCCCCCGAGCTGGGTCCCGGGCTCAGGCTCCATGGTGATGGCGCCGGCGCTCCGCCCCCTCCGTGGCCCGTCTGACTCCTCCAGAAGGGGGCGGAGGCCGCGGAAATCGGTCTCTATGGCACGGCAGGCAGGGCTCAAGTTTGCGGGTGGGTGTGATCATGTGACCGGGCGCCATCTTCCCGCGGCTCTCTGGGAAATGTAGTCTTGTAGCCTCACCACGGCTCTGAAAGGTGTGTTTACCCTCGGTTCGGTCTCAATGTTGTGCTGCGTTCAGTTCAGCCCCCCAGAAAGGGTATCCGAGGAGGATGGCAACAAGGCTCGCCTGAGCATGAAGGAGAAGCAAATTCCCAAAATGCATACTAGCCACAGCGACTTCAGTAGCATTTGATATTTTCCTGCCTCACCCCCTTTTCTTTTCAAGGACATATGTATTACTTCATCCCTGTCAATTTTCTTACTGAGCATTGTGTAAGCGTATATAGCACAACTCTTAACTCGTTCAAGGGGCGTGAATTTGATGGGGGTAGTGACCAGCTGGACTGCTAAGTCCATCACAACTCAGCAGATAATGATTTATATACCCTTTGCAACAGGTGCCATTTTTAGTTACTCGTTTTATTTTAATCCATTTTGAAAGTAGCACTATCAATTTCTTGCTTTATTTTAATAAAAAAGAGAAGGAGAATAGTGAAATACCATTGAAATGGAGTATTTTTCCAGGTTAGAGAGAAAAATAGTGTTCCAGTTTGTGCCGCTTTAGGAAGATGATAAAAGGCACAATCCTATGCATCTTTCCACAGGAACGTGGCCTACAACTTCCAGCTTGGCTGAGAACTGCTGGGAATAGCTCTTTTCTTTAATAAAAGTGATAAAATGACATTATAGGACAATATAATGTGAAGTTACATATGTAGGGAGCTATTGAGAGCAGCTGCCTCCATCCTCATATTTCTGGGCAGTAGTTTTCCACTTTGCTCTAGATCCAAGATGTGTGTTACCCTTTTCTGCCAGGGTTGCTGCAGCAGTAACCTCTACAGCATGCATTTCCCTGTATTATCACTTCTCACTGTCTGAAATAACTTCATCAGTTGGACACATACCCATCATTAGAATGCACATTAAAAACTGGGAACTGTCTATCAAGCTGCAGAACACAGAAGTGCTACAAAATGACTAAATGTTACAAAACTATTAGTCCATAGTATTCTTCCCCTCCTGCTCCCAATTATCTCCACCGCAAGAACCCTCTGAGGTAGGTTGGGCTGAGAGTCTGGATCTGGCTCACAATTACCCAGCTGACTCTATGGCTGAGCAGCAAGATTGCCTGAGTCCCAGTCCCTTGCTCTGAACCACTAACCACACCTGCTGTCCATTAACAAGTTTCTGGGAAATAAGCTTCAAGTTTTATCAACTTTAGCAGATCCACTATTTAAAAGAATTACTCTAGACTCAGTTCATCAAACATGTAACTGTTAGGAGAAAAAGAGGCAAGCTAACCAAAGCAAACCCTAACCCTATTCCCAGTGTGAAAGATATATGTATTTGCTCTGCTATGTAAGAGGCACTTACTTCTACAGGAAGTATTCCACATCAGAAGCTCTTCATGCCTTCACCTGCTAAGGAAAGGCAGGTACTATCCAGGGCCTTTTCAGTGGCAGCCTTTCACCTCCAGCATTCTCTCATCCAATAGGCTGGTTTGATGCCAACTTTTTTATTTTTTTCAACACCAGATGATAATCATTTTATTGATGCAGGCCTTTTTTCAGAATGCTTTGAATTACTTAAGGATCCCTTTTGTATACTGCTTTCTATCTTTTTAAGTTACTCTGAGTGGAATTGTGCTTTTAGTATATCTGAAAGCCTCAAAGTGAGCTGAAGTTGGGGTCAAAGTTATATTCATACTTACTCTTGCTTTCACTTATTCCATTAGCTGGTTTTGTCAGTCTGATGAACTGGAAAAGGCCAGGAAAGATTGGACAATACCTTTTTACTGAGCTAAACAGATAGCATGGTTACATACTCAAAGCACATGGTTGTATAGCAACTGGGACACCTGGACTAAATGACCCATTTATTCCATCAGTGAGTTGGCCCACAAAGCCAAAGATTTAGACAGCATGGACTTGTGGGTGGGGAGGTTTACATGCAAATACTATATTAGACTGTGATTTGTCAATTCTCTTATTTTTGGAGTACTTTTGGTTTTTTCTTTCTGTTATGCTCATTTATATCTGAAAGATAATACTGTAGGCTAAATTACCTCATGACAAGTGAAGAAGAGCAATCCCATTACTGTCCTATTAGATTGTCATGCATCTCTTCTTTCTCACACCTTGTCCCTGTGGAAAGTAAAGTCACTCTGGGCATGTGGGTAAAGTGAAAGGAAAAGCTTCATGTGCCAGGTTTTTCCCCATACTAATTTTCTGTCTTTGTTAAATGTGCAAGAGCAATAATATGAATAAACATTATTGTATTTTAAATCTTTGTGGGGTTGTTAAGTTTTATTTATATTTTATACTGTAGTTTTCAACACACTATATTTTTATTGTGCTGTATGTTATGGTTTTAATTGTGAACTGCACAGTTTTGGCTACAGGAAACTATAGAAAATAAAAACAATAAAATGGGCAACCCTTGTGTGTTTTGAAAGACAAACTAAGGAAGATATGTTTGGCACCTTTTACAGGCAGGATTCTAAGGTCTTTACAGCTCCATGAATATCAGAAAGCCAACATGTGCACCATTCTGTAATTCACCTGTTATATTCCTGACTAGTCCATCTGCCTTTAAAATCACAGGTGTCCTGCCAGAAGGGGAAAAAACACTGGTAATCTGGATTATTAGGTGTCTCAGTTGTGTCTGGTTGGATGTTGTTCTCCATATATTTAACAAGAACATCATTTCAAATCTGCATTTAGAGCAGTGTTTGCATACTACTGTATTTAGTGCATTGTCCATTTATGTACTACTAGATTTTCTCAACTTTTTTTGTAGTTAGTAGCATAGTCCAGTGGCTAAACATCTGAACAGTGAACTAGAAAGTTCTTCCTAATATCGTACCTCTTTGAATAACTCATTCACAGTGTAATGTCTTCTTCTTGTTGTTGTTAGTTGTGAAGTCGTGTCTGACCCATCGCAACCCCGTGGACAACATTCCTCCAGGCCTTCATCTCTTCCGCTATCCCCCAGAGTCCACCCAAGCTCACACCAACTGCTTCAGTGACCCCATCTAGCCACCTCATTCTCTGCTGTCCCCTTCTTTTGTCATCTATTGTTCCCAGCATTAGGCTCTTCTCCAGGGAGTTTTTCCTTCTCATTAGGTGGCCAAAGTATTTGAGTTTCATCTTCAGCATCTGGCCTTCTAAAGAGCAATCAGGGTTGATCTCCTCTAGGACTGACTGGTTTGATCGCCTTGCGGTCCAAGGGACTCGCAGGAATCTCCTCCAGCACCACAATTCAAAGGCCTTAGTCCTTTGGCACTCAGCCTTCCTTATGGTCCAGCTTTCACAGCCATACATTGCAACTGGGAAAACCATAGCCTTGACTATACGCACTTTTGTTGGCAGGGTGATGTCTCTGCTTTTTAGTATGCTGTCTAGATTTGCCATAGCTTTCCTCCCCAGGAGCAAGCCTCTTTTAATTTCTTGGCTGCAGTCACTGTCTGCGGTGATCTTGGAGCCCAGAAAAATAAAATCTGTCACTACCTCCATTTCTTCCCCATCTATTTGCCAGGAAGTGAGAGGACCGGATGCCATGATCTTAGTTTTCTTAATGTTGAGTTTCAAGCCAACTTTTGTGATCTCCTCCTTCATCCGCATCAAGAGGCTCTTTAGTTCCTCTTCACTTTCTGCCATTAGAGTGGTATCATCTGCATATCTGAGGTTGTTGATATTTCTCCCAGCAATCTTAATTCCAACTGATGATTCATCTAGCCCTACCTTTCTCATGATGTGCTCTGCATATAAGTTAAATAGGCAGGGCGACAGTATACAGCCTTGCCAAACTCGTTTCTCAATTTTGAACCAATCAGTGGTTCTGTGTCCAGTTCTCACTGTTGCTTCTTGACCTGCATATAGGTTTCTCAAGAGA